CAAGGAGCGGGATAGCTGGATCGTATGGTACTTCTATTTCTAGCTGTTTAAGGAAGTGCCAAATCGACTTTCAAAGTGGTTGTACCATTTTACATTCCCACCAACAGTGTATAAGTGTTTTGGTCTCTACACAACCTCTCCAGCATTTATTATTTTGTGTTTTTTGGATTAATGCTAGCCTTGTGGGATGAGATGATACCTCATTGTAGTTTTGATCTGCATTTCTTTAATGGCTAATGATTGTGAGCATTTCTTCATGTGTCTGTTAGCCGCCTGAATGTCTTCTTTGGTGAAGTGCCTGTTCATATCCTTTGCCAGTTTTTTAATTGGGTTATTTGTCTTTTTGTTGTTGAGGTTTCACAGTATGTTATAGATTTTAGAGATTAGACGCTGATCGGATTTTTCATAGCCAAAATTTTTTTCCTAGTCTGTAGGTTGTCTTTTTACTCTTTTGGTGAAGTCTTTTGATGAGCATAAGTGTTTGATTTTTAGGAGCTCCCATTTATCTAGTATCTCTTCTGGTGCTTGTGCATTGTTACTTATGGTTCGTCTTGTGTTTATGCCATGTATTAGGGCTCCTAGCGTTGTCCCTATTTTTTCTTCCATGATCTTTATCGTTTTCGATTTTATATTTAAGTCTTTGATGCATTTTGGGTTAGCTTTTGTGCATTGTGTGAGGTATGGATCTTCTTTCAGTTTTTTGCAGATGGATATCCAGTTATGCCAGCACCATTTGTTAAAGAAACTGTCTTTACCCCAATTAACGCATTTTGGGCCTTTGTCAAATATCAGCTGCTCATAGGTGGATGAATTTATGTCTGGATTCTCAATTCTGTTCCATTGGTTTATGTATCTGTTGTACCAGTAGCAAGCTTTTCTGATTACTGTGGCGGTATAATAGGTTCTAAAATCAGGTAGTATGAGGCCTCCCACTTTGTTCTTCGTCTTGAGTGATGCTTTATTTATTCCAGGCCTCTTCCCTTTCCATATGAAGTTGGTGATTTTCCCTGTATCGTTAACAAAATGCCGGTGGAATTTGGATTGGGATTCCATTGTATCTGTAGATCGCTTTGGGTAGAATTGACTGTTTTCACAATGTTGAGTCTACATCTCTGTCAGCAAGGTATGTTTTTCCACTTATGCAGGTCTCTTTTAGTTTCTTGCAGTAGTGTGTTGTAGTTTTCATTGTATAGATGTTCTACGTCTCTGGTTAGATTTATTCCTAATATTTTATCTTCTTGGGGGCTATTGTAAATGGTATTGATTTGGTGATTTTGTCTTCGAGGTTCACTTTGTTGGTGTAAAGGAATCCAACTGGTTTTTGTATCTTTATCTTGTATCTTGAAACTTTGCTGAAATCTTCTATTAGTTCCAGTAGTTTTCTTGTGGATTCTTTGGGGTTTTTTGTGTATAAGATCGTATCATCTGCAAATAGAGATACTTTGACTTCTTCCCTACCAATTTGGATGCCTCGAATTTCTTTTTCTAGCCTAATTGTGCTGATTAGGACCTCTAGCACAATGTTGAATAATAGTGGTGATAAAGGGCATCCTTGTCTGGTTCCCATTCTCAAGGGGAATACTTTCAAAGTCTCTCCATTTAGGATGATATTGGCTGATGGCTTTGTATAAATGCCCTTAATTATATTGAGGAACTTCCCTGCTATTCCTATTTTGTTGAGAATTTTTTATCATGAATGGATGTTGGACTTTGTCATATGCCTTTTCTGCATCAGTTGATAAGATCATGTGGTTCTTGTCTCTTGTTTTATTTATGTGATGGATTACATTGATTGCTTTCCTAATATTGAACCATCCATCCCTGCATACCTGGTACAAATCCCACATGATCATGGTGAATTATTTTTTTGATATGTTGCTGAATTCTGTTGGCTGGAATTTTGTGGAGGATTTTTGTGTCAGTGTTCATAAGGGATATTGGTCTGTAATTTTCTTTCTTTGTGGTGTCTTT